CGCTACTAGGGGCTCCTGGCATCGCTACTAGGAACAAGGACGCTACTGCTACTAGATGAATTTCGCCAATCGGTCAGGAAGCCCAGGGAAAGGCCAAAGTTGCTGCGTGAGCTACAGTTGGTGCGAGTCCTCCAACGCAGAGCAGATGTGGCATCGGTTGATGAACTATGACAAAGGGAACTATCTTATGGCCTGCACAGCCACTTACTGCAAACAGGACGTGTTGCCAGCAACTCTCCTAACTCAGAGCGGTTTGTTTGCCCAGATGATGGGTGAGAAGAAGATGCGGTTGGTGGAGAAAGCTACAAAGTGCAACCTCAGATTGATGATAAAGACTTTCCCCCTTTTTGCAGGGTTCGGTTGGTGCTCGTGAAGTGCAGTTGTACCTAGGAAAAAAAACGCAATATGTAGACATGTTCAATCAACACCTGGAGTAAGTCATTGGTCCAGTCCTTCCCTAAACATGTAGGCTTCAACCTAATTCGATATGGTACTGCACTGTGGCTGGTCTGCAACATCTCAAAAAAGAAAGCTTTGCGATATCGCAGACGATGTTAAACCCAAAACCGACCCAGCGAGGAACCGACGGACTTCCCGACCTCACCGGTCTCGCCGTAGGAGACCGATTGTGGCATGGTCCACAAACACGCCTACAGCTTGCTCCATGCGGTGGAGATTGGTGGCTTCAGGTGATCCGGCAAAGATCTTCGTAGACGATGCGAGAGGTTTATATAGAGGTTGTGCGACAGGCTTGTGTGAATTTGTATGAGTTAGCAAGCATGTCTACCAGGGCCACATCCAGAATAGAAAGTTATAGATTGGACCATAGAGCTTTTACAATGGTTTTGGATGATTTTGGAGAAGAGCTGCCGGTCCGGGCTGTCAGCAGGCCCATGACCTGTCAAGTAGGGGGGACAAATTCAACCCGGGCGTCGATACCCTCGACCATTACCGGATTTCTTAGCCCTGCCGGCCCGAAAGGTTTCCCCTAAGAGTTTGTGCAAGAAGACATCATACTCGAAACATGTGAACCATTGTGAACCTCTATCTCGTGGGGATCCAAAAATCTTACGGGTTCCCTAAGAAGCATCACCTTAATGGCCATTGTTTGCAAACAGCTTTTCTTTTAACGTGCACACCTGACTAGAGCTCCTCAAGGCTCGAGAAACACTACCACTGGTAGTCTATATACGTGAAAAAACTAGTTGAAGCATGAGGTTTGCTGGAGTTCGTTCGGAGCTGCTTTTGCAATTCCATTTGTTTTGAAATCGGAGTTTGCTTTTATATATATATATAGACATATAATTAATAATGTATATCACCTCTTTCTGATCGCCCTGGGACCAGACCCCGATTCAAGGCTGGTGGCCTGTCGAAACCCTTGGGGCACCGACGCAGAGTGGAATGGCCCCTGGAGCGACCGGAGTGCGGAGTGGCGGGCGCACAAGGACATCGCCGATGCCTTGAAGGCCACAGTGGGGCCATAGTGCTTCTGCTGGAAGAAGAAGAAGAAGAAGAAGAAGATGATGATGATGATGATGATGTAGTTGAGGGTGAGGATGGCTTTAGTTGGGGTGAACTATTGGTTTGTTGTGAGTGAGAGAATCCATTAGCCAAGGTAGCTGTCAATGAATCAATCAATCAATCACAGCCTTTATGATCAAGAGGACGTGTCTCTTTCAAGCAACAGTTCTTTGCTTCTGCAGAGGCTAAAGTCTACTGTAGATTGGTGTCACATCTACATCTGGTTGTGGCTTTGGCGACATTCCTGTCGCAAGATTGCATCCCCTGCAGGTGGATTTCCAGACGGATGGCATTTTCTGGATGGATTACGAGGATTGGCAGTTCATCTTCGGACAAGTCAGAGTCATGAACTGTGGCCTGGAGATTTGTCACGTCGACGGATTGAGTGTCCTTGTGCGTGAAAGAGCATTGAAATGCATTGAATGTACTCAACAAATTGCACCTGCATTGGGAATTCAACACAGAACGCCCTTTGCCTTTCAGGAAGCAAGTAAGGACGTAGAACCACAGACCTGATGGGGGTTGCTGGGCATTCTCGGGAGACAAAGTCTTGGGTCAATTGAGTGGCCGCACAGCATCACATCGAGACCAGACCTCATGTTCCCTTTTGTGGGAAGGACGTAGCTACTAGTACGACATGGGTACTAGAGAGGAAGCTACTAGTAGCGATTAAGAAATTGGCTTGCTTTGGCTTCGACTGGGTTCATCTTCAAAATCTGGTTGGTCTTACTGACACAAGGCCTTTGGTGAAGAAGTCAACTCAGTTAAATTTGCCGCATTTAGTGCCAATCTGGCTCCAACATTCAGTATAAGGACCTGCGTATTTCCCAATGCCCAATGCTTGGTTGGGTTTTGGTCTTTTTGTGGTTCCCAGCGAGCTTGCAGTTTCGACCCAAGGCCAAATGCCCTCTACACGTGGAGCCTTTAAGAACACCTTCGTGGACACTGACGAAGACGGAGACGGAGATGATACAGTCATCATTCATGACGAGGCAGCTTGATTCCAATCATCAATAGCATCTGCACTTTTGCAACACAATCTTTACTTGGTCGCTGATGTAATTAATTACCAGAGAGGGAACCTTCTAGCAAACCGGTTTTGCTGCGATGCGGAAAATCAGTTTAGATACTGTAGACAATGTTGAGTCAACTGGGTGTGGTGTGCTGTGCATAGCCATAATGCTGAAGATGATCCTGAGTGAGAGGAGCCCACTGGTTGAACATAGACTCAGTCTTTTGGATTTCGGTTGCAGTACTTCCTTTGGTGCCTTAGCCAGGAAGATGATGAAGACTACTACGGCCAGATTGTTGGCTGCTGGGGACTTGGACCTTGGCACCAACCAACGAAGATGGAGGAGGGTATCCCCATCAACCCAGGCGCTTCAGCTCCAATAGCCGTGTCCTGTTGGGTCGTTGGGTTTGCTTTATGGGTCCCTGGGTGCTCGAACGAATGGTGTTGCCGGAAGTTCGATTTCATTTCTTTATGAGGATGCTTGTTTATCATGGACAAGATTAGGGAAACAAGACAGGTTTCTGGGCACGTCCAACCTCAGCCAACTTGTGGGTCCTATCAAGCTTGTAGCCCTTCCCGTTCATGCCGTGGGCGTTTGAAAGTTGTAAGAAACTTGAAGCACAGTTTCAAAATGGTGTTCAATGGCCAAAAAACACTCCTGACAATTCGCCATGGAGCTACGCAAAAGGCACTGAACCAGGCCGAAGAAGCTGCAGTTGTGTAGACCCACCAGCTTGACTTGGATGTGGGTCGGAACTAGCCAAAACGATGGGTAGTGAACATTCTAAGATAGAGTTTGCTGCATCATCTACTGTACATTTGGTGGACATGATCATACTATAAATTCATTAGACATCGAATCAATAATCCTGCCTGCCGAAACCTGATCAAACCCCGACCAGAAGCTGGTAACTTGCACTTTGGAGCCCAATGGCAAATGGATTTTCTCTCCCCAGTATTTCACTTGATAAATGGACGATGCACCGACCGGGCGCCGAGAGTCTGAACAATCTTGACAAACCTTCGCAGTGAGGTAAGACATTGAGTGAGCTGTCGAGATGATCTCTTGCCCTTTTGCTTCTTGAGGTCAAAGCAAGGTGACCTTCAAGAATGTGCCTGCATATTTGAATGGCTACACCTACTTTGGCCTGAAGGAGTATGAGAGGCCAGACAACTGGATGATTGAATATTACCCTCCGGTGAAGATCTACATTTGGCTTATGGTGGACAACACCAACTCCTTGGACTTGGTGATGCTCCAACCCTCTCAAGGATGGACTCAAGAGCCTGCGGATGGCTTTCAAACCAGTGATGGGTCGCTTGGAGGGGTTCGCAGTTACTGTGTTTTTGTTCGCTGCCGGGTTCGCTGAGAGCTGACGTTCGGCCGGTAGAGCTGACGTTGCTGCCTGACGTTCTGGCCGAGTGCTGCGTGCACATTTGCATACACATGATCACCAGGTCGATCGATGGATGTTGTGTGAAACGTGCCTGGCAGGGCTGCGTGACATGGGCACTCTTAGGAGACTTGCCGCTTCACCTTTGGAAGTCTCGGAGGAAATTTGATGGGAGACTTGGAGGGAGTCGTTTTGGAGACTTGAGCGTTGGAGCTCTCGCTTTTGGACACATGAACTTTGGAGGAGGTCTATAAAATGCTTGCTCGGGAGACTTGACGCACTTGACGCGTGACTTGTGGAGGAAGGCTCCTATGAAACACTCGTTTTGGAATGCTTTTGAGACTTCTCAGTTTGTCTCTTGAGATTTTTGAAGGCCTGCACGAAAATTGAATTGCACATTTTGAAGACTTGACGCGCGGCTTTTGGAGGAAGTCTATGGAAGTCTTGCGCGTCGAGCTCAGAAGTGGCCACTCTGTAGTGCATAGTGCTAGGGGTGAGTGTCCCACAAGAGTGACTGTGCCTTGGAAGAGGGTTGCGCAGAAGGGTTGCACAAGATTGTGGGACGAACGTCCCGCAAAAGCCAGAGTATCCCAGTGTCGCGCAAGAGTGTCACACAAAAGAGTGTCCAGTAAGAGTGTCCTAAGAGTGTCGTGCAGAGTAAAGCAAGAGTGTCCCATCGCACACGTGTCTTACAAGAGGGTCACACAGCCTGAGACTTTTGCATTCGGATTCCTGGGTTTCATTTTGCTTTTCTCCGTTGGACCAATTGCTACGAGGTCTGGTTCGTTGTAGTAATGTGTGATGGATGTCCAATGGCATCTCAAAGCTGGGGCTGCCAACATAGTCTGTAAAATCTGTAAATGTCTTTCAGTTACCCTCCTGCACAGCAACAGCAACCTGCGGTGAGTGATGGCTTCACGCTGAGCCTCGTGAGTTGCTTGTGTCCCATTGCTGCTACTGAACAACTTCAACAAAAGAAGGTTCATTCCTGGATTCCTGGTCCTAGCATTTCCTGGCTTCTGTTTGGGAGCACCACCAAGAGGAAAGGAACTCAAATCAATTTTGGTTTCTTCTGGGAGCAAGGGACACTTGGAAGACCACCGTGGATGTGGGGATGTGGGACTTAGTCGCTGATTCTAAGATGCTGGGTGTGAACCATATTTTTCCGCCATCTAAGCAATTCCAAGGTACGACTTGATGGTCTTGAGCAAGGTCTTTCACGATTTTTGGCTTTGTATTTGTACTTTTTTTTTTTTCTCAGTCTCCTTTGAGGCTCATTTGCAACACCCTTCCACCCTTACTGAACAACTATATAATTCCAGTTTTGAATCCCTGCTCCCTTTTTTTGAAGGTTCCTCTAACATTTTGCCACTGCAATGTCGATCCCGTTCCAAGGAGGGCAAGTACACCGGGCTTCGTTCCACCAGTAACTTCGTGGGTGGCGCGATTGGTGCGCAACCGCCGCCCAAGCTGCCGAAGAGCCCTGACAGCGGGGACGATGTGGTGGAGGCGGCTGTTGGAGAGCCGATAAGCATGGGCACCGTCACAGAGTGCACGGGGTGCCTGGAAAGCGTTTGATTGGGGGTTCGCGGGTGGGCTTTTAGTTGGGTCTCAGTGGCTGTGTAAAAATGACACAGTGATTTTTAGCTTCCCTTGGCAGTTCTTTTCTGGGTGTCTTTGAGCAGTGCTGATTTGGAAGGCCCAAGTGATGCCTGGTACCGGTTGGTGGAGAAAGTAATCAAATCAAGAGAACACCTTGGTGTCAGGAACTTCAGAGTGGCAGTTCTTTCTCTCTTGGTGGGCGACTGTTCCAACATTGTCCATTGTTTGTTCAATTAAGATAAGGTCGTGCTGAAATGTACTGTACTGACCCTACCCACATCGATTTGCAAAGAACCTGAGAATGAATCAGCACAGATTATGCCTTAAAACACCGATCCAAGCTTGTTGCTCAAAATGCTCTTGAAGGCTGCAATTGTGTATGTAGCATGCACTGACTGCACCACTCTTTTGTTGAAAGCACCACAGAAGAACCTATATACTTGTAGTTACATATATATATATACATCATTGAATCATCATTATCGACAAACTGAACAGGAAAAGGACACTGCCAATGACGTTGAAGAACGATTGTTCCCGGGAACTGGCCTACTGGGGCTGATGAACATAGGTGGTTTTCGGATTAGTCCGGAAGTTGAGGCTGGATATCGAATGGAATGCCGGCGAATTGATGACTGAAGGCAGATTGGCTGCGGATTGGGTGGGGTGTGAGTCAAGACCTACAACCGCCGGTGAATTCCGCTGGAACAGTTTGGGTATGGTTTTGGGCCACATCCACGTGAGGAGCGCTGCAGTGACGTCAGGGCACAACAAATGTCTGAGTTGGGAATCTCGTTAGAGCGTAAGTGGAAGACATTCACCCACAGTTCCCCCTCTTGGTGCACAAGGGTGGTTTTGGGGTGGTCGATGGAAAGGATGATGGTGTTTCCTTTCTCAGATGGCAGGTGCAATGAGATTGAGCGCGCGAGAGAGAGAGAGAGAGGGGAGGAAGAGGAGAGAGAGAGAGAGAGAGAGGGAGGGAGGGAGAGGGAGAGAGGGACAGGGAGAGAGCGTCCCAAAATGAAAGCGGGAATGCACATGACCTGTTTTTTGTACTGAGGCACCTTAGTGAATCCGGGCGACCGTGATTACGTCTTCGAGAACGTCCCAGAATTCCTGGCCGGTGGCTGCTACATTGGCACTAGGACTTGGCCCCAGGCTGGTACCTGGACCATCAAGTTCCAGGCTCCAGTCAAGCTGTCGCTCGGTGTCGGGTGACTTTTGCGACTCGCGGGGCTCGCTTGATGCTTTTCAGGAAGAAAGTGGAAAAAGAGGTCTAGTCTAGAGACAGCTTTGATGGACCTTGAGGCAGGTTTTGTCGCCAAACTGGTAGGTAGTATGTATTTCAAGACTTGCGATTCTGTTGCTGAAGCTCCTCCTACTTGCAACAATCTACAATAAACTCGATTGCTTGGGTGGGTGAAGATAACACTTGTCTCAAATTCTACAATGATGCGTGTCACTTCCAAAAAGCAAGCGGCCAGTCGATTATTGAAAGCTATGTGTATATATTTATACACATGTCAAGCAGAAGAGGCGCCAGTGAATGACGCTGGTTCTTCTTCTTCTTCTTCTTCGATGTTGCAATTGTTGCAGAATTGTTTGTTCGTTCTTGCAATGTGGGAGAGAAACCCAGGTATGTGTGGATCGAGCAAGGACAGTACAATGCTGGAGTCGACGATGCCTTGAGTGGAGATGGTTGGAACAAGGAGGAACCGGGCGACTTTCAACGCCGTGGGAAGAATGGCGTAAATCCCTTGGGCTTGTGGAGCAGGTTTTTCCCTGAAGGCGATTCCTACAGCACCTTGCACTGAAAGAACGCTGCAGAACAGAAAGAAGTGGATCCCCCGAAAGCCTGTGTGCATGGAAGGCTGGGTTGAACTCTCGAGAAGAGCCAACTGGGCCACCAGTGATCAATCCTCTCCCTGAATTCTGTCGGAGTGCCGCTGGGTTCAACAATCGCCAAAATCATCAACTGCAGAAGCCAAACAGG